TGGAGAAATGGATTATAACTATACTAAGCAATTTGAGGCGCATTAGAGTAACTTGGAGGCGCCACCACTAATTTTCTGAGGGGGGGGGGTAAAAAGCGTAAAGGGGTATAAAGTCATTTTGGCACTTATGTATAACCGCTTTCCAGCCCGTGGACGACATCGAATTTGAACTTGAGCAGGCTGGCAGTTGGGCACGACCCTTTCTCAGTACAAGTTCACGCTATTTCCCAGTTTTTTTTTCGTTGCTTACTGTATTCATAGCTTATATTGCTGGAACATCGGAAATAGCAAGCAACGGCGGATAACAGAACAAAAATATGCGCAGTCTTACTAAAAGGGAAGTCCGAAGTCGAAGTGGCTAATCCGGGCAAGCTGCCTACCATAATGCAGCATTCAAGGCTGATTTCGAATCTGTTATCCATATCTGCTTAGCGCCTTTGTGGACGAAGTTATGGGCAGTTTCATTGCAAAAAAAACGTGCAAAAAAATTGCAAAATTGAGCACATTTCTGCACTTTCATCTCATTTTTAGGCTTTAAGAATATCAAGTAACCCAGCTGCATGTTTTGAACTAGCTTCAAGCCAAACATGGCTCTGTACTGCCAAGTTTGCGCTTTGCATGCACAATTTCTTAGCAAAATAACGCCCTTCAACGGCTCGTAACTTCGCCCGCATAGGCGCTAAGCAGATATGGAATACAAATTCGAAATCAGCGTTTTATGTTGCATGTAATACTATGCAGCTTGTTTAGATTGGCCACTTTCGTTTCTGACCATTCCCTTGTGAGTGCTCAGAATCCGTGCCCTGCTGCAACCGGCCTACTCCAGTTCAAATTCGAAATCGCTCACCAAGTGACTAATCAAATGAGAGCGATTATAGCTTGCACAATGCAGATCAGCTACACGTGTGGAAGATCGAAAAATAATTTGATTAAAGGGTGTTGTTCACTATAAGCAATGAAAAGCATTGTTTATCTGGGGCACTCTTATACTCCGGTTTTGTGCAAGTGCTAAAGCATGCGAATGATGACCTGTGTTAAGGTTCGCATTGGTAGTACTACCTCGAAAGGAATTCCCAGTTGATATTATCGTTGTTGCATATCTGCGCGATTATCTGCACAGCTCGGTCGAGCACAATATTCAGCTTGCCCATGTGCCAGTCATGCCCCGAGTCAAGCGTTTATGTGCAAACAACGAGTAGAATAGTAACTTCCATAAGTTAAAGGTCTAGAAAATGTCGCCGTTCCAATAACCACATAAATTGGGCAAAGTTATAACAAATATCAATAATATAATTTGATTATTATGTTATGATATAATAACTATATTACTATTAATTATTATACTACCAGATTGTTACATAAGTCTTGTTACACTTTAACTTACGACAATAAGTCATACACTTCATAGATTCAATAGGGATTCAGGTTACCATTTGATAGAGCAAAGCAAGCTCTATAAGAAAGTATAAAAATTCGTACCAGCATCGACCCACCGAAACTTTCATTTGGAATTTGAGTCCTACTGATGTACCAAAAAATCGGGGGAAATTCATGTCTTTATACAAAAAAATCCTCCGCATCTCCACCTTGTTCTTACAGATTGCACCCCACATCAGACACTCATATGTACCGCTGCTGTAATCTTTCTCATCTAGAAATCGAGAAACGAAAATTTTGTTGTTTTACAAAAACGAAGCTATGCTGTTTCTATTCATGTAGTTGTACCTACGAGCTCTTAGAAGTATAGCCGTAAATGTTCGGCATTCCACAGGTCCTATTTTCAAAAAATACCGAATTTAGTTTTTCTCACTCGGGTGTTCCATGCTAAATTCGGTATTTTTCGAAAATAGGGCTTGTGAGCTGAAAATCTGCGGCTATACTTCAAACGGCTTGTGGTAAACAGCTACATGAGTGGAAACAGCATAGCTTCGTCTTTGTAGAAAACAAGAAATTTTTCGTTTTCTCGATTTCTAGATGAAGAAAGATTACAGCAACGATACGTATGAGTGTTTGATGTGGTGTGCAATCTGTAAGAACAAGTTGGAGATGCGGAGGATTTTTTGAACAAAGATATGAATTTCAACAAATCTTTGGAGCCTTCAGTACGACTCAGATTCGAAATGCAAACTTACGGTGGATCGAAGCTGGTGTAGAGCTTGTTTTGCTCTATCGAATGGTACTCTGCAACCCTACTGTAAAAGACTTATGTAACAACCTGATCTTATATATAAAGCTGAATGTCTGTTTGTCTGTCTGTCTGTATGTCTGTCTGTATGTCTGTCTGTCTGTATGTATGTACGTATGTTCCGAATACAAATTTTTATTTCTGAACCGATCGGGACCAAACTTGGCACACATATACTTCAGGGCAGGGAGCGTGTCATAGGCTACTTTTCGTTATCGATCGATATCGATTTTACCGATTTTTTGCAAAATTCGAGCTAGAGGGCTGGGATTTGGCAGAGGGGGGTAATCGAGCATGCTGATCACCCCGAAGGGGTGATCAGCATGCTCGATTACCCCCCTGTGCAAAATCCTAGCCCCCTAGCTCAAATTTTGCAAAAAATCGGTAAAATCGACATCGATCGATAACGAAAAGTGGGCTGTGACACGCTCCCTGCCCCGAAGTGTATGTGTGCAAAGTTCGGTCCCAATCGGTTCAGAGATAAAAATTTCTATTCGGAACATACGTACACGGGTCTAGCTGGCAGGCCCGGCGGAGCCGGGCAAGCCAGCTAGTATAATATAATTATTACAGTCATAATCGGCATATTATCAGAAACAACCCATTGTGGCTGCTGATAACATGCAATGACCATGAGCGCATAATTACTCTTAAAGGCAATGGCTCGGCAAATCTCAACATAGTCAAATTTTTGCTTACCTAGGGTTACAATACGCTGATTCCGAAAATCACTTTTGAGAGCTTGAAAATGCCGAAAACGAGCGTTTTTCAATGTCCTTCCCTTTGTAATTGGACGAGTGCTGCAAGCTGATGACGCCGAATCGTTGCAGGACCAATTGGTTATAGCATTGCGGCGGGCAGCCTCCAATGGTGAGAAGGAAATACCAACTCGTCCAGATGCGTGAAAGAATGGCCTGCGCGTGTAAGTTTGAGAGCAATTTTCTCGGCAAGGAAGGCATGCTGTGCAACCGGGATTGCAGTGTTTTCATACTTGGGCAATAAGGAGTCTACCGCGTTAAAATTTTGAGTTGTTGAGTTTTGCCGAGACACTGCCTTTAAGCATCAAGAGTTCAGAAACAGCCTAATCTTGAAAGATGGTCCACATACAGCACTATTCGAAGTTTTATAGCCAGTCAACGAAATCATCCGTCAGGGTCGTACCAGTATACTGATAAACCTTTGATGGCTGACCAATGCAGTTTAGACTGCAAAAGCGCGCTCTGAAAGTCACTATGATGTTTTCGATGGGATCTTCAACACACACTCCCAAGCACAAAGCAGAAAACTGCAGATATAGGTGTTCATCGCACACATAGACTGGATGCAGTTGCGTCCTCCTTAGATAGTTCGTGTATGGGAGAGACAGCAGACGATAGGAGGGATGAAAGAATGCTCGATCACCAAGACGCTGACAACGCCCGTAGTAACGCCCTATCTTTGCGTGCAATAAATCCTTATAAATCCAACCTTCCGTTTTTTCGTGAGATCAACTTCGTGATGTTTGACCGTTTCCAAACAATGCTGCTCTTGCAAAAGCTAAGGTGATAAAGCAAAAAGAGGCGAACACACGGCCACTTTCTTATATCCGTCAGATCTCCTCGACTACGGTCATCCTGTTATGACCGAAGTTATAACTTGAAAGCTGAAACTCACCAAATTCTACCGTACTTAGTGTTACTCGCACCTTGTCTATGGTGCGCAATCACAACAGACATGAATTTTTTCAGCTCGTTTTTAAAATAAGAAAGGATGAAATGGACAATGCCATATAGATGTCTCAACAGTCTCAACATTCGTCTCATTGTCTCAACACTCTCAACAAGAATGCAAGCAGGATTTAGCCCGTGCCATGTCTTGATGAAAAAGTTACCAAGCTCTACTGTAAACTCTGCTGTAAGGCCCCAGTACACTGAATAAGATACTGCAGGAACACAATATCTGTAAATGAATCGAGCGCAACTTCGTAAAAAAAGGAGTTTAACGATAATTTTGAGCAATGCGTCAATCCAAACCGTAGATGAATTCAATCCTAACTACTTCCTCCAAAACGACGTCTGCATTTCGCTACACTGTCATGCGCATGCAACTTATCGAAAATCACAAGTGGCCTCGACAATACTCAAGAACTCGGACGTACTGCAGGAGAGTAGCCCAAAACGATTCCGAACAGTAAGATGCAGCTTTTCTTAGATTACCCTCTACCTTCCTGGTTTCAAATTAGGTGAAGCTGCTTCAAAAGCAACGAATTGAAGGGATCGACAGTAGTGAAAGTGATGAACGGAAAAGCAGCATCGCTAAGGATTATTAGCCCAATGCATGAGCCGAAGCTCAAAGCCTTTGAAATGAAAGCTGCTAGAGCAACGACTAGCCTTCATTGAAATTATGAGGATTCGCGTATGATCGGACTAGACACAATACACTGGAAAAGACGCTTATAAGACGACTCTCTCCCCAACTTTATTGCCTCAAAGCCTAGCATGTAACTCCGCTGGTGACCATTCCTCTGGTAAACCAAGCTCGCTTTTCTCTCTATCAAAAACGTCCACGCTGGCTCAGAAATAATAACATTTCATCCGTTGTCCGACAAAGTTGTGTTTTCTCAGTTAAGATAGCACATTGTCCGAAATGAAGCAGAGCACTAATAAGAGCTAGTTGATCACATGTCTGCAAAGCGAGACTAGCCTCCTAGTTCCAAACCGATTACTTCAATGTATTCATTCTTGATGAACTTGTAGCAGTTGAACATGCGATGTTTTGTATAAAAAAGACCGAGTGAAATCGCATGAAGATTCGTGATGATTTGAGAAGTACTTACGGCTGCATAGGGGATTTCATCCTCGATGGTTTCTGACATATCCATCTCCCTTCTGATCTCATCAGCCTTCAAGACTTCTTCTACGCGAGCTCGCATCACAAGATGGGACTGATACAACTAAAAATAGTATATCTTAAAACTCTGTTAGAAATTCTCTCTGATGTGCGACAATCATAATAGAAGGGTGCCAATGCACATAAAACGGAGTGCCCAACACTCACTCGAACTAAAGGCTTGGCTTTCATGAAAATGCATCCTGGGAGATGGAAAAGCTTCTCGACAATGCCAGACTCTTTCATTCGCATAAGACGACGAGTTGGTGGAGCAAGATCTAGTGACTGCAGCGTGTCCCTAAACCAAAATAAATGCCGATAGGATCTATAGAAGTTGAAATAGTAACTTAGACACCGCTCACGAGTAGTCTGCCATATTCGCCTTCATTTCGTCACCCCCGATGTTTTTTTGCTCATCAATAATCAAGCGCCGCTTCCTACGTCTGCGCTCCTGCTGGCGATCAAGAGCACTGGCTTCCAGAGGTTCTAATGCAAAACTTTCTTGTTCCGCAACCCCACCTATAACAATGACTAAAGTTGGTCATGCGACATTTAGTAGTACTACGACACATACCGAGATTGTTTGCGGCTGCGCCTAGCTGTAGCTCGTCCTGAACGTCCATGCTAACTCCTTCGCCATGTCCAGCATCATGAAAAGCTGAAAAGAAAACATCTTCGCTTCGCGTCAGTTATTCGAAGATAAGCGTACCATCCATATCATCATCACCTCCACCCTCATCCATGCCACCGAAATCGTCACCCATGAAGATATTCACACCAGGTGCTTTTGCACCCTCCAAGCTTGGCGTGGCCTCGCGAATGTCTCGGCCCAAACCGGCAGCAAAGCTACTGGCATCTCGCTGCATCTCAAGTCCACTGAAAAGAAAGTAAAACGTTGATATACTTTCAACTTTTGCTCAGCCACACATCTCCCAGAAAATGTTTTCAACTTCACAGTTACAAGACTACCACTCTGAACTCAAATGAATGTGAGAGATTTCAGAGAGACAATGAAGCTACCAAATCTGTTTTATGCGTACCTCGGAGATAAGCGAGCTTAAGATCAAAAACAATTAAGCAGTAAGCCTTGGGGATCGTCTTTCTCTATAATCGCCCTCTATAGAAATGTTCATGTACACGACATTGAGCGTTTCGTCTTGCCAACAAAAACATGCGTAACTAAGAAAGGATGCTAACAAAGCAAAGAAGGTGAGTAGTAAAAAAGATCAAATACGAGGTTTCAAAAGATTATGGAAGCCATCACCTAGCCTCATCCATGGGTGCAAGCGGAGGAAAGTCGCTGAAATCGTCTTCTGCTCCGAACGTGATCGGACCGAACCCAGCATCACCAAATTCATCACTCTATAATAGAGAGTTACAAAAAGCTTTATGATCATTTGAAGGGAATGATAGAAAGCACAGAAATGACTCTGATATGCAGCAAAAATGAGAACCGACCCCGAATTCAGCACCGAACATATGCTGATCAGATATATGGTCTTCTTTCAACGTGATATCGTCGATACGACTCTGATTGATCTAGAACAAAAGGATGTAAGCGAATAAAAAGCTGGTAGAGATAAACAAACCTGCAGATGATTAGTGAAATCGATGTCGTTAAAATCAGGTAGTGAGGAGTCGAAGTCTGTGTACACCTGTAAGAAAGGCTTAAAGGTAAAGGATACGTCTAGATCCAACAGCAAACCTCTGGAAGTGAGATCGCGGCCATTGGTGCTTCCTTTCCATCATCGATTGTTTCAATTTGTCCGGGTCGGAAGGCCATTTTGATTTTTAAGAACGCTTCATTACAGTCTGCTAACAGGTACTTCGTCTTTCGCGAATAAATCCGTACTACACCAAGGAGAAGGTGACCGGTTGTACGCAGAGCCATTTTCACCTAAAAACTTGATGTTTTGCAATTAGCATTGTTGAAACAATGATTTATTACCACAGCTAAGCAAACGAAAGAAAAAAATGGAAGTTTCAGTTCCCTCACAATTCTGTTACTGCTCAAACGATCCTCCGTGACCAAGACACAAAAGATGTTCAACAAGAATGTTCTCTCTTACCTTGGGTTTCAGGATCTCATCGACTGCGTCTTGCACATTTGTTTCGTATATTTGAGCCTTTGACAACTTCTTCTCCCAATGTGCTGCCAACCAGATTTTTGCAAGAGGGCCTTTTTTTGATAAAACGAACTGTGCATAAAACATGCTGGAAAGAAAGGATTTCGGCACAGCGAGGGCAAGTATAATGGAAACTATTGAATACGAAAAACTGGGAACGAAGGTGTTGACTTTTTCCTTACTAAAAAGGAACCAAAGTAAGAAGGTGCAAAGAAAGATTTATCACATTTGTAATGACACTGCGGACGTCAAAGATAAACGGAAGGAGACAGCTATTGGAAGTAAAGATTATACAAGAAGCAAGGAGCGCGAGCACAGTGACTAACAGTGACTAACTCAAAAACAATCAAGAGTATTAGTTTTCAGATACACTAAACGAAGGCAACACATGCATCTACATTAGTGCAGAATTATTTACCACTAAAGCTGTAAAAACAGCGGTAATGTAGAACTTTTTTCTTGAAATTAAAGGATACTTTATGAAATGACTAGAGAGAAGGACATCAAGGTTTCCAGTTTTTCGTATTCAATAGTAACTTTTCTAGATGTATCTTTACAAATCATGGAAAATCTTCCAGAAAAAACTCATTACAGGGTCATTACAGGGTCAAATAAGGAGATGAAATCTCAAAAATGCAGAAAATCAAACCTGACTTCACAGTATTTCGTAAATTTTTCTACACATATTGTCTTAATGAAGACCCTATATACCAAGTGGTTATTTTTTGGCAAAGATGGTAATCACTCGCCCTGTAAAACAGGGTGCATGCCATATAATGAAGTTCAAATACACTTAATATAGAATTTTATGATGATTTCTCTGTTCAATAGTGCAAAGTACATATAAGAACACATTAATTTTTAACTAAGTTTCACCTAAAAACAATATAATCATTATGAAGATACTGCAAGAACCAGAAATGATATGTCACAACATCAAAATCAGATTTGAGAGTGACGCTTCTGGCATAATTAGTGTTATACAAGATTACAGATGAGCAATTCATTGATTATTCTTCTGTAATCACAGAAGATTACTTGTTCTGCAGATATACGTAAATGCTCTGTTGCCAGATACGAAACATGGAACTATATTCGCCTTGAGAATTTAAAATGCCTACCAGAATGGAAAAAAAAAACATGGAGGATTCAACCTTCATAAAACGTACCATACCTTTAGAGAAAAGCTCCACTTGACAGCGATGATTATCGTACAACAGGGGAAAATCTCAGGCCCCGGCAAGACTTTGCTGAAAAGCGCTCAAAAGCGCCCAAATTTAACCTCTCCTCACTTCCCCTCATCCTCTCAGAGAAAGTGGAGAGACAGTGGTGGAACTTGGAAATTTTTGGGCGCCTTGAGCGAAGTCTGGCCGAGGCCTCACGATCACTCTTACATGATAACCCATCGCTGAGCAACAAGCAGCGATCTAGCTCAAAAAAAAAATCCTCATGATTACTTCTAAAAGTGGCGCGTAGGAAAGGATGATAGACTTTATCGTACTTAATCACAGTTCATAAACTAACAGAAACATAGACATAGCGCAACACACAAGGTGAAAAACGAGAAGTGGATGAAAACTGTAAACCATGATAATCCTGGGGGAAGAAGATATGCTTCAGAACAAAACGACATGATGACAGCAGAGATCAAAGATATCAAAGATATATATCACCTTTCTCAAACCAGTCAAAAGCGATGGTTTGTAAAGCGTCTACTTCAAAAATTGGCAAAATGCCAAGCTGTTTGGGCAATTACAGCGCACGAGCTCTCCCTTCAAGACCACTCAACACTCAGACATCACAGAACACAGCTGCTTCGCTTCATTCAAGGGTCAGATCCAATTTTGCTTCCATGTTAGACTGTACACGCAGTTCCTGCTGGCTTTGTGTGCTTTTCTTCACTTTAGAACTAAGGGGGTACGGGCCAGGAGTCACGATTTGGGAAGCGACGCCGCAACGCGACGTCAAGCAGTACAGGCCTCAGCTCCCGCCAGTACTCAGAAACCATTATCCGTCGGAATCCGGCGCTGACCTTAGCTACAATATATAGCTAACGCGACCATAAAAGGCGACCCGGCTGCTTCTTACTTCTTCACCGGTCTTACTTATCAGTTCATAAAGTGGTCCTACATTTGATATGATGTGTTGTTTATCCTCTGGGTCTTATATATAACTAATCATTTCGCTATCCGTATTCAAGTAATGAATGGGGACCTGAGTTTGTTAACAGATGTTGATGGATGATGTAGAAGTATCATTTACGAAATCTTCTTGTTGTTAAGGATTTCAAAACAAGACTGTCATTGGTAATGATGACTTCATCTCTCTGAACAATGTATACGTTTTGGAAAGCAGAGGTTCCTCTAACTTCATCAAATAAAACTCTTTTATATTCCAGCGAAAAGTTATTGAAATATCTAGATAATGATAAATTCCAAGAGATATCCTAGAGAAACATCAGTTCCTTACAAGGGAAGTTCGCCGAATCGAAATGGCCGTTTGATACGTGGTATATACCCGGACGCGGGGCTCGGGAGATTAGTATCAAATGTGCGCCCATTAGCTGCGACGCGTTATTGTGAAGCAAGTTATGGCCCTCTGAAGTTTTTGTCGTGTGCATGTCTAGAGAACGCACAAATGCTCTGATTGTGGTCGTGTGGTGTAGTGGTTAGCGTCTCGGACTCACAGGTGACCGGTGAGGGTTCGAATCCTGTTGCTGTCCACACGTTTTGCGTTTTTCTCAAAATTCATTTTTTACCTGTATTATGCATTACTGATGTAAAAAATGACACATACGGGTGGCTAAACTCTATTAATTATACATCCTGCTGTGTCATTCTCACAAGGTAGCCCATTAGCAAAAATTAATACGACGTGATACAGCTTGGAGATTGTCAATCAAATACTACGTGCAATCGAAGAAAGTATCGTCGATTCGTTGACTGTACGGACTGGACATAACCGCGGAGCACGCGCCGCGAGGTAAAACGCTCGCTCCAATACAAACCCGCCATTGTTAAAATCGTGCCTTCGCAACATTTTAACCGCGCCGCGCGTGGTCCGCAGCGGTTGAGCAGTCCGTACGGCCAACGAATCGACGATATGTGTGGGAGTGAGGATTTGGCAAATCTTCAAAGTCAATTGAAAAGCCTCGCTAAAAAGTCGTTGCTATGTACTATAAAAATTTCACATATGAAGCATTGGTCGAATTTTCGTGAGAAAAATCATCCCGTAACCCGTGTGTGTCATTTTATACCTCAATAATACATAAAACAGGTAAAAAATGATTTTTGAGAAGAACGCAAAACATGTGGACAGCAACAGGATTCGAACCCTCACCGGTCACCTGTGAGTCCGAGACGCTAACCACTACACCACACGACCACAATCGGAGCATTTGTGCATTCTCTAGACATGCACACGCCAAAAACTTCAGAGGCCCATAAGTTGCTTCACAATAACGCGTCGCAGCTAATGGGCGCACATTTGATACTAACCTTCCGAGCTCCGCGCCCGGGTATATACCACGTATCAAACGGCCATTTCGATTCGGCGAACTTCCCTTGTTAGTATTTGCACGTTATGGTATAGGTGCCGTAAAACCTAATTGCCCGCGCCGTGCCTTGAACACCAGCGTAAGCGAGCGGTCGTCGCGAACGACTGTCGGTGTTCTCTATAATCCAAAAAATCTTTCTATAACTTTCATGTTGTTCTCGTCAATGCAAGGTATATCTTGACGAAAGCTCCCTTCAAAAGTTTAAAAAAATATGTGTGGAAAGGGGTGCGCTCATTGTCGCTCGCAAAAAGCCTGTAGCGCTTCGGGACCAAGCGTTTCCGGGTGCGGGAACTGAGGAACCCGAACCTAATGGGGGACGGAACTTAGGAACCCGAGCCTAATTAGCTCGATTCGGGGAGTGCCCGCAGGTTACAGTCATGCTGCTGACTCCGATTACTCACTAGGACATAGCAACAAGCTAAGCCCCGCCCCCTTGAGAGCCTGTTTGGAACCTAGCCAAGGAATGCTGAAAATCTCAATTGAATTTCAGGGCTGGCTCTAAGCCAAAAACCTTCAAAATGATCGTACGAAGGTGAAATTAGGCTCAAACGAAAGAGAAAAACCGTGCCATCATCATAAAGCAGCTACTGATTTAAACTGATTGAACACAACATTTTCTTGGTTCAAAACTCTATTCAAGTGTTGAATTACTGAGAAATTATTCAAAAAACCGTCAAGTTTTTAAAAAAAAATATTTGAGTGCTAAATCCTAACAAAAAACTAGAATAGCATTAGAGAAATGACAGTTTAAAAACTTCTCAAGATTGATAGTTATTTGCTGAAATGCTGAAATTTAGGCGAAAGACTAGAAAATCAGTTGCGAAACGACAGTTTATAAAATTCTCAAAAATAAAAGTTTGTTTGTGTGCGGAATTCTGGGCAAAAGACTAGAATGTCAAGAAATGAAAAATCAAGAACTTCACTAATGATATTGCTGAGTCTGTCAACGACAGACGATTCTGATGTGCGAAGAAAATCCTGCTAATATGCTGGAAGCAATGACCTCAACCTACGCAAGGAAAGGTTGCAATAACAGTTTGAGGCGAAATTTCTCTTATAAATAGGAGCCCTTTAGGGTGAAAAGCATTTATCGTTACTATCGATATCTCAACTTCCCATGTATTACGACGATTATTTTTATTCCCACATGCAGCATCTGCTGCAACAATTATTAAGAATTTGTAAATCTTTATTTTCAGGCAATTGTGGTAGTTTTAACTACTGAGTGGCATTTCTTGATGTGTTTTGCTCGAAATTCAGCACTCAAAAAAAACTATTATTTCTGAGAAGTTCTTGTTTTTCATTTCTTGATATTCCAGTCTTTTGCCCAGACTTCCGCACACAAACAAACTTTTTATTTTTGTGAATTTTATAAACTGTCGTTTCGCAATTGATTTTCTAGTCTTTCGCCTAAATTTCAGCATTTAAATAACTGTCAATCTTGAGAGTTTTTGAACTGTCATTTCTCGAATGATATTCTAGTCTTTTGCCCGGATTTAGCACTCAAATAAATTTTTTCTGAAACTTGACGGTTTTTTGAATAATTTCTCAGTAATTCAACACTTGAATAAAGTATTGAA